ATGTGTTAGATCAAAAAATATATTAATTATTTTTTATTTCTTAATTTTATCAGGCACAAAAAATATAAATTTTCAAACTTTATTTCTTTTATTGTTATTTTTCAATTTCATTATATAGAGATATAAGCGACAAGACGAAAATTTCAAAACAGTAAGCTAATTTATGATACCAGACCAGATAAATTAAAGACTTGTTCAGATCCTTACGCCTGGCCCAATTGTCCTAGCCCTTGGTTTAAACGGGGTTCTACCTCCAGTGACCCACGCATGGTCTTATAACTGATTTTTTTTTTTAACAACAAAAATGAAATTATAACTGATTCTTTTTAAACAACAAAAATAAATTATTTTATTATTAAAAATATAAGAGATATTCCAAATCTTATAAATGATTTAGCCTTGCATGCCGCTGGAGTCCTTATTTCCTGTGAATATGAAGTGTTAAAAAGAGTTGAATTTTTACGTTTTTGTTTGCATCCAAGAAGTTAAAAGGAAAAGGTTAAATGTTAAATTTGATCTCTCAACTTTAGTGAGTTGCACATTTTTGGTCCCTTAACAATTTTTTGTACTTTTCTGATCCCTCAACTGTACGAAATGCACTCCGTTAGTCCTTTTGTTAATTTCGATCGTTAACTGGCTTATGTGGCATTTTTTATAATTTTTTTGATGACATGGCAAAAACAAATTGAAAACATGTTAGACGTGGAAATTTTTTTATGCAAACTCACATTATTCCTATTTATATTTTTAAAAAATAAAATAAATTAATTCGTTCATCTTCTTCCTTTCTCTTTTTCTCTTTTTCTCTTCCTCTTCTTTCTTCTTCTTCTTCCTCTTCTTCCTCGGGTTATTGAACCCTCTGCTGGGTTCGACGAAACCCAGCACTGGGTTCCACATTTTCATCTTTGCTTTTGAGGTGACGCCTGGCACATGCACCCAATGAGAGAGGGAGCTGTGGCCAAGGTTTTTAAAACCGGATCGGACCGGTCGGTTGAATCGGTTGGATCGGTACCAGATAAGGAAAACGGTTTGGTTCATACAAAAAAACCGTTTGAGGTCAAAATCGGTCAAAATTGGTCAAAACCCGATCAAAAACCGATCAAAACCATTCAAAACCGATGAAACCGATGGAACCGGTAGAATCGGAAAAACCACCGGTTCAATTTCTCATGCAATTTTCTTTTTGTTTTTTCCAATTTCACCCTCACCATTCCTTTCTTATACCAATTTTAACCCTTAATTTTAATGAAATTACAAAATTACCTATCTCTCTCATCAAATTTCCATTGTTATTTGAACCGATCGGTTCACCGGTTCAACCGATTGAACCGGTCAAACCGAAAACCGGACCCGAAAATGGTTCAATGACCGGTCCGATTTTAAAAACCTTGGCTGTGGCATTTAGACGTTCTGATATTTGAACACCTTCCATTTCCATGTGAAAGAGACGGCAAAATATTAGTTCTCTGCCTATCCGCTCTTCAACTTCAAGTAGACCTGGTAAACGGGCGGGTTGGGTCGGGTTAGGGTCGGGTCAACTCGGGTGACGGGTTAGACGGGTTGGGTTATAAACGGGTTGCGGGTTGGAAACATCCAACC